TTTGCAAATCCTTCCCATGCATATTACATGCAGAATACTGTGGCATTGAGCTATGTCCGTGCACGTCGATCTCTCGAACAAAGATTACACAACAGGTCATTCTCCAACTGATCTGTCTCGCTCGGGTATGTATTGTAGTGGTGCAACACCACCTAGGCATAGAAGGGTTACTGCAGGAATTGATCTTCGATTTCCAATATTTACACTGCGATCAATCTATGTAATAAGCTTGTGTGGGGCAAGCAACAACAAATAACAGTCATCAGTCATCAATTGGATCATCCTATGCCTTATGCCTCGAAATCTAAGGTGAAAAGGTAATGTGAGAAGACGCAAAACAGTTGGAGCAGAAAGCCATGACTAACTACGAGTCATGCATCGGTACTTCTCGCCGCCAAATCTTCACAGGCATATCACCCAAAATAAGATTCATCGTCTCCTCTCGCTGCAGTTCCCACTCCGGAGACGGCAAGGCGAACTCATACCGGCGTACCAAGGTCGCCAGAATCTTGGCCTGCTCTAGGTACGAGATGTTGCGTCCAATGCATGAACGGGCGCCAGCCGAGAAGGCAATGAAGTACGGCTGCAATGCTTTCCCTTCCTCGCCCAACCAGCGCTCCGGGATGTACTTGTCGGCTTTGCGGAACGCTCTCTCATCTCGATGAGCCACAAACGCCGACATGCTGACGGAGGTGTTGCCTGGGACCCACTGGCCAAGGATCTCCATTCCCTCCGGTGGCGTTTCGCGCGGCAATCCGTGAGAAGTAGGTGGGAAGATACGGAGCGACTCGTCCAGACATGCCCGTAGATAAGGCAGGTGCTTCACTTTGTCGTATGGCGCAATGATCTCGTCCGGTTCAAGGACGGCGTCCACTTCAGCTCGCAGCTTCTGCAGACATTTGGGGTTCTTCAGCAGCTGGTACATCACGTTGGTGATGGCGATGGCGGTGGTCACACTGCCCGCGTTCATCATGATATTGACCTCAGCCAGCACCTCGCCCCATTCAAGTTGGTTGGCACGGCCGTTCTTGTCCTCCATCAATGCTTGGAAGAAGTCATCCAGTCGCTCGCCTTCTTCGTACCGTCGCAGCCGCTCGGTTCCGCGACGCCAGATGATGTTGTCCCAGTGATCGGAGGACTGTTGCATGCGCTTGAAATACGGGATCACGTTCACCAGCCGGTTGAGGGTCGGATACCACTCGTAGTTCCAGAGGATGAGTGATTGTTTCCGCGCTGTAGGGTAGAGAGCCTCACGCAGGGACACCTCATACGTGCTACCATCCTTGCGCTCCGCCACGCAGAGATCATGTCCTTGATCTAGGAAGCCCAGCTTCTCTGACAGACCAATGTCGGCAATGGCATCTAAAGTGAAAAAGTTTGTCCACGCCCGGAAATCCAGAGTCAAGTCAGCTCGATCGGGTGCTTGCTTTCCCGCTGCCACTGCTGCGGACGGAGCTGCCGTGCACACACGGTCAAAGTGTGCGACCACCTTCTCGCACTTGTCACTGACCTTGTGCTCCCATGTCTCCAAATTCTTCAAAGCGTATGCTGAAGACAGAACTTTGCGCTTCCGGGCGTGATCTGGCTTGTCCACGACATCGGCCAAGTGATAATGAGAGCCTGCCGTGATGACATACGACGGGTCCTTGATGCACTTGGTGTTGTGTCCATAGATGTCCTTGATGGCGCGCACGTCTCCGTATGAAAGCATATTAGGGCCTGTGCGGATAACGGGCTTCTCCCGGTGTAGCTCCATCAGCTCGCGAGAGCGGAATCCACGTGAAGCCATGAACATGAAGGGGATTGCAGACATCCCTGAGATGGGAGTCAGATTAGGATATTTCCGCAGCCCTTTGAAGAGGTTAGCGATTATGAACCTCGACGAGTTTTGTGTCCCTGATGCCTACCTTTCGAATCGCGGAGGTACTGCATAAATGGCCAAATGAAAAGATACAAGATGCCTACCAGCCCGACCACAAAAGCATACGGCGCAACGCTGAACATAGACAACATATCGGTGGCCATGGTTTCCACTGTTCTCTCGGTTGAAGAAGGTCTGTAATATGAAGAAAGGGTGATCGAGCCCAAGGGGAGACTAGTTGTCTGCGAAGATCAAGCCCGAGTCAGATTGTATGCCAGCTGGTTTGCTTGCCAGGGTGCTGGGAGGTGCTACTTATAACCTCAGAAGCAAGAAGTGGCATTCGCACAGTTTTGAGTATCCGACGAGGTGCTGAGCATCTTGCTGAAATCCGGGACCGACTTGCCCGTACAGTGAAACCATGGGTGAGTACCACAAGGGTCTCGCTTGTGATGGGGTAGATGACCATGTCATCATCTACTGTCTCCTCTTTTCTTCTCCACCTTCACTTTTCCTAACATCATCGCCATCGTTCCCGAACGCAAGCAGCAGGTCGGGGAAAACTACCCTTCGTGGTAACCAGCAAGAGCGGGAAGAATTTCTCCCTTGAATTTGACACACTCTGGGATAAAAAGCCTCGTTGAACTCAAACAACGAATCAAAACCAATCCACCGAGGCCGGTTTCTTCAAGAGTGGAAGGCATATCCTTGGTCGAGGTCCAGTCCTGGTTATTGTCTCCCTGGTCCTCCAAAGTCCTTGATCGACAAAGAGGATCCAGGCGGCATTTGAGAACTATGACCCTGGTTGGCGAAGCAGCGAATCAGGTCGCCGCGATATAGAGCAAGTAACAGGCATCTGGGGAAATCCGGGGTATTCTGTCAACCATGGAACCGTGCCGAGCCATGAAGCAATACCCGAAACTTTCCCCCATCTGAGGGGGAATGAACATGGGTACTGTCAAGAATGTCGCTGCCCCCTCACGACCAGCCAACGATGCTCAGCGTAAATAAGCCCGAGGATTTCGTCAATCTGGTCTATTCCTATTTCTGGTCAAGGTGTCTCTGCGCCGAATGTAGATTGATCCGTTGGGATTGTTCAACCTAGACTGCTCAGGAGCACACAGTGTTCTACTCTACCCTCATTCTACCATGGCTGCCGCCGAAGAACTTCCTAAAAAGTCATCAAACGACGAGTTGAAGCCACATGTGTTTCATGACGAGAACCTGGTGGTCAGTAACGGCCTAGATGACTCTATTGAGTCAACGCTTCCGGGCAAAGCTATCTGGTTGATAGCGTGCACTGTCTCTATGGGGGGATTCCTCTTCGGTAAGCATGATATCCAGTATCCCGTTGTGTTGTTCGGCAACGGCAGCAGTGGAATTATTTCCCTCTCCTGAGCTTCAGGCCCCCTTGCGTTCAGCAGATGTACTGACCACTTCTTATCGGGGCTATTGCAGGCTACGATACTGGTGTCATTTCGGCCGTGCTTGTCAATCTGGGAGATGATTTGGGCCAAACATTATCGTCCAGTGATCAGGAATTGATTACTTCTATCACGTCTGGAGGGGCCCTCATCGGCGCGGTCCTCGCCGGCTTGACTTCCGACAAGTATGGGCGCAAGCTAGCCATCTACGTTGGCTGTGCTGTCTTCTTCGTGGGGACGGTCTTGCAAGTTGCATCATTCTCTCTGGCACAGATGGTGGTTGGTCGATTAGTCGTTGGCTTTGGTGTAGGTGAGGCAGCCATGATCGTGCCTCTCTACATTGGAGAGATGGCTCCGGCCCGGTATCGCGGTCGAATGATCGTGTTTGACAACATCTGTGTGACATTTGGACAACTCATTTCCTATGCCCTCGGAGCTGCGTTTACCAACGTCTCCCAAGGATGGCGATATACCATTGCTATCGGTGCTGTGCCGGCTGTTGCCCTCGCGGCTACAATGCCACTCTGCCCTGAGACTCCCCGACAGCTGGTCTCCCATGGCCGAGACGAGGAAGCCAGAAAGGTCATCGCGCAGATCTTTCCTCGGGCAACGGATCAGCAGGTTGCCGCCAAGATCCAGGTAATTCGACATAGTATTGAAGAGTCCTCGGTATCGGTGTCAGAGAAGAGTCTGTGGTGGCAGGCCAAGCAGCTCTTTACCGTGGGAGAAAACTTGCGCGCCTTGATCACTGCCTGTTCCGTTATGGCCGGTACGTCCTTCTCTTGTCTCCTGGCCTTGGAAAGTCCACGCTGACGCACGTTAGTCTCACAACTCGGAGGATTCAACACGTTGATGTACTACTCTGCCACACTTTTCTCCCTGGTTGGTTTCAACCAAGCAACGGCCGTATCCATTGTGGTTGGGGCAACAAATTTCATCTTTGGCTTTCCCAACTTCGCCTTCATTGACCGATTTGGCCGACGATTGATGCTGCTGGTCACACTTCTAGGGATGGTAAGCAGTATCTTTTGCTGACTTCACTTTTGCGTATCTTCTTGCGTTCCTGACGCCAAGCCATCTATAGTCTCTCTCGCTGGTTGTCGTTGCCGTCGTCTTCTATTGGATCCCTGTCAACTCGGACCTCAGCTTTTCCGGCCCTCGTGAGATGACCTGGGCAAGTATCGTCCTGCTGGTTGCCCTCATCATCTACATTGCCTTCTATTCTGCCGGCGTCGCTCCCATCTCATGGGTCGGCACCGAGTTCTTACCGCTAGAGGTGCGGGCTCTCGGGACCATGGTCAACACTGTCACATGCTGGGGCTGTAACATTGTCATCTCATCGACGTTTCTGTCAATGATGAAGGGCATGACTCCAAGCGGAGCCTTTGGCTTCTACGCGGGGATATGCTTCCTGGGATGGCTCTTTGCGGTCTTCTGCTATGCCGAAGTGCACAATATGCCCCTGGAATCAGTGAGGGAGATCTACACGGACGGCTTCGGAGTCCAAAAGGCCAAAGAGATCCAGAGACAATTGAGGCAGATGCGGCAAGATGAAGAGCTCGCCAGACAGACAGAATAAGCTTCCCGAGCCGGGGATGCTACACCCTTGACTAACTTGCATCATGCGATTCCCACGATCAATCCGAAGTTGAACCGCCATTGACAGCGTTTGCCGGGGACACACTCCTGGGGAGGTCACGACTAGTTATCTGCAGCAGCATCTACAGCAGACCTATCGAATCCAAGCGCGGAATCTGCGCGACCGGGGCGCTCTGCGCAACAGAATTTCCTCATGCACTAGATTATGGCAGCTCTTTTCTTTTTTTTTCTTCTTTTTTTTTTCTAATCTCAGGTGGAATGTCAGGTACACGCAGCGAGTTTCTTGTTTCTTCCTCCACTTCTTCCCCTTCCTTCATCTCTTGTCCGCAGTACACTCACCATCTTGTATTCTATTCCTTCTCCGGGCCTACTCACAATTTCATGACATTGATGATTCTATCGAGCAGTTCACACATCTCTTTCCGTTCAATTTCCCCTGCATGTACGAATGGTATGGACGTGCAGTGCATACTATACTTCACTTTTCACTTCCACCCATGTAATATCGCTATACTGTACATTTACTGTACGTTAAGCGGCGCAGTCGCCGCACACCGGTTGATGTATGTAGTTGCAATAGCTAGCAATCATCTTGCACTGGTAGCCAACATGTTTCAGAAGCACATACCTCTCGCTGTATAAGCAGTCGGATGGGTCCAGCCAGCGTGACCAGTGCAATGTTTTCACCCATAAGCTGGGTGCAGTAGCTATTTCCGTTCAGGAGAACATCCAGCAGAAGAAGAGACGTCTTCCTTATGGACTTTCCGCCAAACGTGGCAAGCTCCCAGGCATAAATTGCTGCGCCGCCTGCAGCAAGTAGGGTTCTTGCTGCCCCGACCACCGCTTCTCAAGGCCGGGTCACATGTCATTATGTCGTTCACTTGCACGTGACCTATTGCCACAGGCCTCTGGGCCCTACGTTGTCGATCGGTCTCTCTCTTACCAAGCTACTCAACTCAACAAGCTACACTCGAACCCCAAGGAACTACAATCAAAGGCTGGAAATGGAAACCCATGGAGTTTTAGATGCCCATACATGTAAGATAAAACAAATGCGCAAAACATGAACACCAGGAACCGACTCCAGTCAGCTGGGTCCCTGGAGATGCAGGAATGGAGAGAAAAGACGATGAAAACAAATAAAAAAGGGCTGGGCCACAAACAGTATAATCCAAAATTCTCGTCATAGGAAATTCGTGACATCATGGTCGTTAAATATAGCCGGTCAGAAACAATGCGCAAACCAACACAATGACCAAAAACCACACACCAGAGCGCTGACCATCCCTATTGTCCCCCGAACCCGCACAGACACAGTTCTCATGATGACTGTTTTTCGCGGCAACCCACCATGCAAGAACCTCATGCGTGAACCTTCCAGACAAAAGACATTAAATGATTGAAAGTTTGGGTCTCGACGGAGGCCCACAAATGCATGCATAATCCCCCTAGCCTACCGAATCATTACCTGGGCCCAGCCGGGTACAGGTAATCGCAGCAGACACTCAACAAGCCGAATAAATGCTTCTTCGGTGGTGGCAGTGAGAGACCCCAACAAGTGGTGGTGCAAGCTCAGAGCAACCACGCCGAAGAGAAGGTCTATTATAAAGGCGAAGAAAGCGAAACCCCCATAGTACACGCCATTAGAGAGAGAGACCCTTCAAAGAAAACATTTTGTCTTTTCTCCAAAGAAAAGATCGTGCTTTTCGTGATTGTTTTTTTCCTTTTTTCTTTCCCTCTTAATTCGCGGTTGTGTCTCCCTTCAGGGCCCGCACCGGTCACCGACGACGAGACATGACACCCCCTGCCTTCATGGGCTGCAATCCAAGAGCAACACCGCCAACAGGCCCTCCGACAGAGGTCTCGCTAAGCGTCTTACGCCGCTTGCTCTCAAAGTCGGGGCCCCGACTGTCAGGGCGGGCAATTCGGTCCACCTCGTCATCTTCCCTCATCCGCTTGGTGGAACCGATCGAACCATTGAGACCATTTGAATATCCGGAGGGTGGATTGGGGACCGAGTAATTGTCCGAGGTGGCACCGTTGTTAGACGTTCCGCGCGTGTCGCTGACAATGTTGTAGAGACTACTGGCAGCCGCAGGGCGCGGGGGGGTACTGTACCCAGAGCCCCATGGCGGAGGACCACCACTGGTGCGCGGGGTCATTCTTCCGGAGCCGTTCTGCTGTGTAGGAGAGCCAGTGATCTCGGGTGTGAGCTGAGAATGGTCTCCAGTTAGGCTGCCCACAGATGGATTGGTGGTATAGGTGTAGGAACCGCGGCTGGTATTGTAGCCGGAATTGTCATGCTGCACGTATTCCGACTCATGCTCCGCAACCGATTCATTTCCAGCGCTGGTCACATGCCCATTGCTCTGGGTATACCGTTCGGGCTTGACATCAGTCGACTCTCCTTCCGGCTGTGCGCCCGGCGTACGGCTTGAGGGCGGACCCATCTCACTCTTCAGATATGGCTCACTCTTGAGATATGGCTCGCTCTTCAGGTACGGTTCACTCTTCAGGTAAGGGGTAGAGGACATCGTCTGCCCGTAGGGTGCCATGCCAGTCGGTTGCGATGCATAGTGAGGGTGAGAGGGCGGCGCCGCAGAGTAATAAGGCTTGGAGTCGTAGCCTGGCTGACCCTGAAACGATTGCATTCCTTGCATGTTATTCCCTGGTGGAGTTGTAGCTGGTGTGGTTGGCATCGAGCGGGCGTTGCTCAAAGCCGTGTCAATGGAGAGAGGCTGAGAGTTGGGCACACCTGATGGCATTCCCTGGTTGTTCCAGTCGTATGAGGCGTTGGAGTTGGTAATACCCATGAGACTCGAGGCACTCGCAGGAGGAGTGGGGAAAGTATGAGCCCGGTCAAGCCCCGGCCTCCCACCTTGTTGCGAGGCCACTGTGGGGGGTTGAGCCATGTGCGACGGCACACCAGCTTGCAGAGAATGATGATGATGATGTAAAGTAGGCGGCTGAGGCCCCTGAGACGTACGTGCGGCTGCTTGAGAGCCCTCCATGCGCCGCTGCTGAGACTCTTGCACAACTAGATTAGTTCTGCTTGTGTTTGTCGGGTGATACAACAGTCCCCCAATGTTGTGAACAAACAACGGATACAGCAAGTCTGTAATTTTCTCCTTGTTAGCGAACTCGAGGGCCCGCTCGAAAGGAATCCTATTTCCAAAGATGGTCAGCGTTCACGTAGTGGCTAGAGCCGAGTTTCTAGAGCAAGATTATCGTACCAAACGCCCTTGAGGTGCATGGGGCCAATCTTGACGACATGACGGATCTTTTCGCTTTTCAGAATCCCATCACGACGCCCGCGGGTCATTCCCGCCACATTCAGAAGCTTCGTGCCATTGATCATTGAGTTGTCTGTAGAGCAGGGTTAGCCAAATATGAGGTTCTCTGTATTCGCCAGACCGACTACGATGTGCTCCATCTCACCTTCACGTCGAGCAACACAGACTCCTTTGGCTTCAACCTGATAGCAGAGGCTTCCCTCATCCTCCCACAGTGTGGCGGTCACGCGTGGCTTCGATCCCGGCGGAGCGATCTGGCCGGTGAGATCGTACACGAAGCCCTGCGCAGGGGCGCCGGTTGAATTGCCATAGTTTTGAGTTGCCACCGCATGGCTTGTCACTGCTGGTTCGACGGGATCGGTTAGAGTCTCTGTATGTACGGTCAAAGGGAACCACGAGAATCACTTACCGGGTAGGGGCAGCAATTGAGCCGGGACCTGGCCACTCAGAGATGTCGTTGGGGGCTGGAGGCCAGGCTGGGATGAAGCTACGCCGCCTGGATAGGCATACGGGGCATAGGAGCCGGCCGGCCCATATGTCGTGGATGCTGGCTGCAGAACCGGCGGCTGCTGGTGGTATTGCGGGTAGTGAGCAATACCCCCAGCGGTGGCAGCATGCGAGGCATAAGGCTGGCCAGATGACAAATGCGAAGAATGAACGTCCATGTATGGTTGCGTCTGGTTCATGCTGCTGATCGGTGCTGGATTCTGATAGTAACTATCGCTAACCTGATTCTGCGCGAGCGAGTACTCTTGGGGTGCAGAGCCGTCCAGCGAAACGCGACCCTGGTTTGCCGCCGTTGTGAGGTCGGTCGAGGATGTCGGCGGGCTTCGAGTATCACTACCCCCGGGCGCGGAACCCGATAGACTGGTACGCGCGCTGGTGTTGTTGGACCCCAGGGCGGCGGCGGAGGCGTCGTCGTAGCTCGCCCGATAGGACTGGCCCGAGATGGCCTGCGAGGCCGTAGGGAGACTGAGAGCCGGAAGCTTGTCACCAGACAACAGAGGTCTCTCTGCGGCGTGGTGGTTATACCAAGGGATATCAACAGGACCTCTGGTGTGGACCTGCGAGATCGACGGTAGCTCCAGCTTTTCGGTTGACGGGGGTAACAGTTCTAATAATGGTAGTGAGGAGGTGCGGTGGAACGTCGGACTGTAAGATATGTCCGGCGTACCGAGAAAGTGGAAGAGAAAACGCTTGTCTGTGTTCTCGTTCTAAGCGTTCGTTTTTTTTCTTCGATGAATTGATTTCTGAGATCAGTCGGCACTTCGGGCACTGAGCTCGTTCCTGCTTGAACGTGCAATGTATCCGGGGCGAGACTCTCAGGATAAACTTGTGCGGGATCTGCAGCAAATATGCACACCGAGTCAAGTGTCAATGCAAGTCGGCAGATGGAATAGCTTTAGCAGGCAATGCAGGACATGCGATAATGTGCAATCGTGGCAGGCTCGTGGGCAGTCGTAACCATAAGACGCTAGAGGAGACCACTGGCGGAGACCAAGGAAATCGCTATGCAGAGACTTTGCGGACAGAAATCTAGATCCGAAGACGTGGGAGGGTTTTAATTCTCACAAGCAAGCCCAAGGAAAATAGATAGACAACAAGCGCTTGCGTATGGTTTAGAGGGGAAAACGCTCAGCCGATTCAGAAGGACACAATCATGGGTCTCGTTTCAAGTCGTGATAAGCAAAGCGGAGAGAGAAAACGACGTGACAGTCCAGCATCCAACGTCGAGTGTCTTCGGGGATGCTAGGCACAAAAGAGAAGTTGGTGTGCTGCGACAACGACACGAGGCGAGCAAAGTGGATTAAAATCGAGTCGTAACGGGTCGTAGAAAGTCGTTGCGTGCGGCGGGTGCAATGCTAATGTATGCTGTAGGCTCTAGGTAGAACACGGTCAACAACCGAGCCTGAAGACGCGGGAAAGATGATTGCAAGTTGAAGATGCAAAAGAAGAAGGGCAAGTGGTAGCAGACAGTAAAGATAGCAAGAACAAGAAAATTCAGGTCATCCACATAAGGTCATCAAAGGACAAGAGAGAAGGAGAGAGTTGTCAGATTGGAAGTAGGGGAGGAATTGTAGAAAGTAGCGGCAGAGAGATGGAGGTCCGATGTATGTATAAGAAGGCGCCAAACGGAAGGGATGGCACACTAACGAAGGCGGACAAGGGAGTGCCGAATTGGGTTTTGGGTTGGGGGGGGGGGGAGGGAAGAAAGTAGGGAAAAAATAGAAATCTGAACCAAGGAAGCAGATCCAGCAAAAGAAGGATCGGGGAGGAAGGAAGGTGACAGAAGAAGAGGTTAGTGTGAGAGAAGAGTGGTGAAGGGTGAGGATTAGGATAAGGTGAAAGTGCGTAGGTAAAAGGTCAAAGGAGCAAGTGACAATCCAGACAGGATGCGACTAATTCTCTTTTGGGAGAATTTTGGGAGAAAAAAATATTCTCGCATAAATTCCCAAAAAGGAAAATGAGATCAGAGCAGTCAGAAAAAGAAAATAGTATAGAAA